TTCTTCACTTCCAAAATCGCTGAGAATGTCGCTGATTGCTTCGATGAACTTGCTTCCGATGCAGTGATGAAAGAAATGCGCGACTTCGACATGGCAACAGACTGCGAACGGTCGGAACCAGAGTCAGTGCGGCACTGGAAGATCATCGTGATCTGCATTGTCCTTGCGATTGCAGAGATACTTGGGGGGGAGAACTATAATATGTGGGCACATGCGACACGCATAGATCTGTATCGACCTTGCAACTATACGGACCACACTGCTCTACAGCTTCTCTCCGGGTTGTTCAAAGAACTGGAACGGGGTTTTCCATCTGGTGCAGTGCTGAGATTGCTTGCGATATGTCATGCGAGCTTGCCATTGAACTTTGGACCTTCGGACAACGCATGGGATGGGTATGTTATCGGGTATCAGGGGAATGGCTACACTGTCTTACCAAACCTGATGTTCAACATGAAGGTTGATCCAAGTGCCATTGGCTTCAGATGCGAGAACCTAGTATTCGCAAACTTGCCTGCGCATATCGTAGACGGTAGTGTCGAGACTACACAGTCTGACGATTGGGCAAGTTATGCCACAGGCACAGGCGAGGGAAATGACCAGTCTATAGTATCCAGTCAGTCTAATTTCGTAAGCGAGCCACGCCAACAGCCTCCGGACCTTCCACTTTACATCAACTTCGAGAGAGCAAGACTAGACTATGCCCCAATGCAAAGACAGATCGCGCTTGTTGGGAGAGTTCATGGAGAGTCGATAGGTGTTTCCGGAATCTATGACATCATGGTAGTGGTGGTTCAAAGCCTTAGCAAAGCGGAGTCTCCCTGCCCTGGGCATGCTTCACGAGCTAAAGCTTTGATCATCAAAGCTTCTACCTGGATGTCCAAGAGGCACAAACGTCCCATGGATGGTACCAACCAGTATCATACGTATTTACCCACCGGGGGCGACCAGGCATGGGCGGTGTTTCTTGCGGGTCAAGTCATGGGTATCGATGGACGGGTTTCTCTCGGATGTTACGATTGCACCCTGGAGGCAGACAAGCGCCATCCCACTACACCGGACTTCAGTCTAGAATCAGAGGATGAATACCCAAGGGTTATTATCGGTCTCTGGTCTATTGACGGAGTAAGATCTGCAGATAATTGAAAGGGATGGTGTTCCTACATATGTACAAGTAGGGCGACTGTAGATCCCAATGATTTTAAATTTAATGAATTAGCCAAATCTGAGAACTCGCCTCCACTAGCGTTCATCGAGGGTATGAAAACAAGGGATATAGAAACCGCTTCAGCTCGATGTATGCGGGGCCGAAGCTCAGATGTGAGTGGTGACTGCTTGAAAGAGGAATGGTGCCAGCGCCTTAGTACCTCATCCAGTCGACGAATACCGAGTCTTTACACCTTTTCGCTTCCTGACGAAGTTCAAATAGAAACTATCGAGATTAAAATGAGATGATCGATCAAGACGGCAACGTTAAGATGATCAAGATCATAATGTGTACCTCATCCAGTTTGTCTTTCCTTCTTTGCTGTCTTCGCTTGCGTTAACTTCATTTACTTCCTTCCCCACAGACTGCAACTCTTCCGCAGTATCCTCTATCTGCATCGTAAAACATATCCCCATTCTCCCGTCAAGCAGGCTTCTTGACATCAACCTTGTCAAACTGCGTCGACGAGAACAACACCCGTGTAGAAGTCTTATGTCTCAATCCATTACCATCACCCTCTTTCGCAACCTGGTCCTCTTTACTCTTCCTCCCCTTCTTCTTCCCGGCCCTATTCCTCTTGTCCAACGGCGAATGGCACACGATCTGACTCGTCGGTCGATGAAGCGCAGCTTCGGAGTTCGAATGGGTCGAAGAATTATATCGCGGTTTTGGTAGTTGCATCGAAACTAGGTTCTCGTCCGATTGAGTTTGTTTTGGGGGTCGGATTGGCTGTGAAGATGGTTTCGTAGGGTTGAGGCTGGACTTCCACTTCTTTAGTGTTGTGCTGAAGAGCATTTTGCGCGTTCGTTCGACGCGGTCGTCGCCGCGTATCGTGGGATGCAGGCGCGTCTCTCGCGCCCACGGTGTTGGAAGGTCTAGCGAAGGTGCGGTGCAGAGTAGGAAGCAGCGATTCGAGCGAAACGATCGAAAAGGACATTGAGCGACATCATATCATAACATATGCACTGATATAACGGTGATTTTCGCCGTGACTACGAATGCGTTGCTTCCCTAGCTAAAAGCGGCAATCTCCTTACGTGACGCGACGTGTGACGAGCGATGGATGCAAACCGCGCCGCATAAGAGTCGTTCTTGCATACCCGGAAGCTCTTCGGCAAATTCCACGAGGCCATAGCCAGGTTCCTGGAACTCGCTGTAAACTCTATCTCTCGTACAAGGAACTTCCCATCGCATGTTACAGGACTTGGGGTGGGAAGAGGTAGAGTTTGGTGCTGCCCGTTAGTTCTACGGACCAATCCACATGTTCGCAGCGGGACTGCGGCACAATAGCGGAACAACGCCCGTCGGCCCCGACCGTACCTTCTCAAGTTGGTTGTGCAATTTCATGAGTGGTTCCTTCGAGTTTGTGCTCAAAGCATGTGGCTTGCAGGCTGTGGCATGAATCTTGGGGGGATGCGGCACGGCTGCGTTCGAACAGGGGTGCGTCGGTACCCGACGTAATGCACAAGAAGGAGCGAAATTGCATCCGAGAGGATGCTGCGTGCCTAGACTACAGGGTAATCTATCTTGTATGTAGTCAGCACGACGATGGAACGCGTTACAGACAGAGGCTGAGTAAGCTCTATGTGAAGGGCGTTTAGAGGCTGGCTGAGTGATACGACGACCTTGTTGTTCCCCAAGGGCCGCACCGCAATAACCTGTGAACTAAGGCCGAGCCAAGCTCAGACGCAATGGCGGTGTTGTTATCGACGCGTACTAGCTACTATGGGAACACTACGAAGTCGATAGTTTCGCACACGCATACAGATAGGCCGATCTCCCAATGGTACGTATCGCAAACTCTCCGTATGCACACCTGAAACATTGGCTAAAGATCTGAACGGCGTCTTCCATCAATTATGGACCTGGGCTTATCGTACAGGCTCCACCACCGCAATATCTGGGGATGTTCGTGAAACCAAGAGCGCTTCCTAGCTGATCAATCGCATCGTAACCTCAACCGTAGCAAATGTGCCTGCCGAGACTGGCATAGCCCTGAGCAAAGTCGGTCCAATACCCCTCCAAAAGCCACCCAAGCCCTCGCCCTTGTACGTCTTCGCGAAGCAATCCCTCATACTCTTGTACTTCTGATCCTTGCCAAACGCATCACTCTGCATCTTGCTCTTGATTACCTAAAAGGTGGGTGTACGAGGTCAGTATATGTCTCACGTGCACTTCGTACATGGGGAATTTTGAACGTACATCGAAGGGATATGAACTGATCCACAGCACTTCACCCGCAAGTCCACCATATGCCGCGACCTTTAGAGTAGAGATCTCCTTCCGGTCAATTCCGTTGCGTGCAGCGTCCGCGTTCATCATGTACTCAAAGGCGGTGAACCAACAGCCGTAAGCTTGTGCTTCGCGCATGAATGTGACAGCTGTGCCACGGTAGACACCGCCAAGTACGCCTTGGTGTGCCGAGAGTTTGCGCACGCAGTCGATCGGGCCGGCATAGAGACGATTTGGACCGTGGGGTTGTGTTTGCAGTCTTATACGGATGTGCTCGATGGGGCTGGATAGAACGGTATTGGCGATACCGGCGAATGCACCGGCGGCATAGTATTGCGAGTATGACAATTGACCTTTTCCAGTCTTGGCTTCGTTACTGGCTTCGAAGGCACGTCGCGCATAGTGGAAGCCGCCGAATTGGATTGATACACAAGCTCCGATTCCGATGAGTGGTGTCAGTGTGCCCTTGTAGAAGGCGAGGGCTCCTTCGTTTTGGTAGATCTTGGTCGCTGCGTCCAGGGCACCAGAGTATTGTGATGTTGTTTGTAATCTCACCTTGACAATGTCTGTCGAAGTGCGAAGTCAGCATATGTCTCACACGCAGTTCGTAGAGATTTTACCAAAAGGCTGTCCTATTAAGACTTGCGCAACTCCTCCCACTGCACCTGCGAAGAGGTCTTTGAGTGTTCGAGAAAGACCATCCTGAACTGGAAGCTCTTCCTCAATATGAGGTTTCGACATGTTGCTCCTGCTCTTTCTGTGTTGCCGATATCTCTTCTTGCTCGCTGCTCTCTTATCTCCGTCAACACGGACCCTTTAGAGGGGTAGTTACGACGTCACCGGCCTTGAACGCACTGTTTGCGCTCCTTGCCTAAGTGTCGACAGGTGCAGGATGTCCCTGTAGCTTTTTGTTGGTATTAACAGTTTGATGCTATTGCGAGGGTTTTCAAAGTTGTCCAAGGGCTTTACAGGCCAATGGCGTGCTCGTGCACAGACGCGCTAGCGATGCCTTGGATAGCCGACGGGGTGGTTAGCCTCGAAGCGGTCATCGTTCGCACTACATCCTATAGGTACAGATCGCGATTACTGCTGACTGATACATATTATTGAGCCTTCTGATATAATCCGCGAAGCGTACCACGGAAAGCGTCCAGTCCATGTGCAACGTGCGCCAGCTAGTATGTGTTCTCATTCAAAACTTGATGTGAATTCTTTACAGTATGAAATCGACAGTGATGCAAGGAAATATACATACGCAAGATGTGAGACGCTGTAGAAAATGAACAAGAATCAGACAGCCGCCCGGTATATCCCGTGGTTTCCCCATTCCCGCTAATCGACATATCCATGCCATGCGTATACAAATGCTTTGCGCCCGTAACATCGACGCATATATACAAGTCAAGGAAATAAACGGGAAAGCAAAGTGTGTATAAAACAAGCAGGTCGTGCTTCATGTCCCATACCACATCTCAGCGAGCCCGTGAACGAACGACAAGTCCCCAGGCTATTGGTAAACGCCTGAGACTTATGTGCAATGCGTAGCAACATAGGAATGCAACTACCAGCACTTCAGCCTCCTCCACCAACTCTTTTTGGGCTCGTCCTCATCATCCTTCTCATTATCCAGATACGCCGCCGAAGAGTTCGGGTCGCGGTTCGGATGCGATTGAAGGGGAAGAGCGGCAGTTCGGTTCGCAGGGCCGTCTCCGGCAGTGAGTCTCCGCGCTTCTACTACACGACGTACGAGCACTGTCCGTCTTGTTAGCCATGTCTCTGCCGTCATCTGCGCTGCAGGACTTACGCGCAAAAGTCTCCTCAATGTTGACCATCTCCCTCGCACTCGTCTCCATAAATCCGCACTTTCTCCGCCTCGCCCACTCGAGACCCGTCTTCGCTTCTACCTGTCTTTGGCCCTGTAAATCGCACTTGTTGCCTACCACGCACTTGATGGGCGGTATCTTGCCATTGTCTAACCGGTTCTCGGTCTCCATTTCTATCATCTCCATGAAGTAGTCGAGCGCGTCGAGCGAGTTGGCAGATGTTATATCGTAGACGAGGAGGAAAGCGTCGGATTGCAGGTTCGAGGCGGCCCAAAGACCGCGGTATTCTTCTTGGCCGGCCGTGTCCGTGAGCATGAGGTAGTAGGGGACGCCATCGACGGTTCGGGTTACGGAGTATGAGTCTTCTGGAGGGGTGTTAGTCGTGTGAGGCTACAAGTTGCGACGAATTCGCGCGCAGGGGGATGTACCTATTGTTGGGTCGTACTCAGATGTCCATTGGCTTCTCACAAGCCGCAGCGTAATCGAACTCTTTCCGCATCCACCATCACCGCACACTGTAATCGTGATTCTGTTGTTCTCGTCCATTGTGTCCTTCTCTTGCGCTTGATTCTGTGTCTGCGATTGTAATTCCTGTGACGTGTATGCGCTCCCGTTCAGGCGGTATTCGTGTCGTAACCGGATCCGTTTCGAGTCGTCAACTCTCGTGGGTGCGCTTGTCGCAAACCGTCCTTCCGAACCAAGCACTCCCTTTTCTCGTGTCCCGTGGTTCCACGCAAACGCAATCCTTCCAAGTTCCCGCGCAGATATGTATGGTCCTGCAATTCGCGTTTAGAATGTGTCGTCGGAATAGGTCACGACTTTGGCTGAGGTCCGACCAAAAGTAAACCCACGACAATAGAAACAAGAAAAGATATCGCGCGTAGGCTTCGCAAGTTCGCGTTATCGTCGCAGCGGTCCAGACAAACGAAGAACCAGGAAATGCAAAAGTACAAAAAGGCAGAGGCAGCGCAACGCAGGCGTTCCTCTCGTATGTGTAATACCGGAAAGCCAACCAACAAATTAATGAAGCGAACAGTGCCCCCAGCAGAACGGAACGGTCCCTAGTACTATCCAAAGCCGCACAGCGTTAGAAATGAATCAGGCATGAAGCTCAACCCAGCCTAGGACTAAGTGAAAAAAAGAAATGAAGGACGAAGATCGCTTCCAAAAGCCCAGCCCGTTACCTCTTTTGCGTGCAAGTATCCGGGGACCATGTCCCCCATCGGCTCTGCTGCGCGCGCAAAGTTTCGGTGCGAAAGAGGGCCACAGACCCTTGTACCCTTGCATCGCGCGCGCCGCTTCGACATGTCATGGCACGCACCAAGGAAAACCCACAGACATCAGAGCCCAGATAAGGCGCTGCCAGAACGCTCAGGCCGCAGGGGATCGAAGGATCCAAAGGATCAAGCCCGGAAGACGGCCCCACTTGTTTGATTGGGAGGCTGGAGCGGGCTTGGGGAGGGGGGAACGAGGGAGGCAGTCTGCCAGAACCCAAGCCATGTGGGTAACAACGTGCGATGGACCAAAGTTTATTTGCCATGTTGAACTTTGAGCTTTCGTCATTGGAGCTCATGGCCACGGGTCTCGATGCCGAGGCACACGAAGTTTTTCCCACCTCCAACTACCGTTCTCGCAATACCCAACCCAACGACTCCTCACAAGATCTAGGTTAGGCTCAGAGAATACCCAACGAGTTACTCGGCATGGCGTTTTCCCTAGGCCCCCCAAATCTAGATGCTATCCATGGAACGTAATCTGCCATGTGTCCAAGAGACTTGGAACTAAACCCAGTGATGCCGGGGCTAACTGTCCGGGAACCTGCATGCTGCCCAGCTTCCTTCCTGCCAAACCCCCTGTTCGGTTGTGTTCCTCTTCCTGCTTCCGTGGAACACATGCAGCGTTCTAGCGCCACATCACGCGCATTCTAGGGCTACATCCAACACACCCTCCCCGACCTTGTCAATGTCCCACGCGCCTGTCGCAGGTTGTCAGACTCCAAGCGAGGACAAGGCCGACATCAGCGTCGTAGGTTGGACTTGGGATGCCCGTTGTCTTATCGTACTTCGTGTTCGCTGCCAACCTTGGAAGCCGCGCAGTTGCGGTGCGCCTCGTACAAACAAACAGCCGTGCAAACATGCTAGGATTACGCACTAGATATGGGCAAAAGGGCCTTGTTATCCTAGTTAGCGGTTGATGTTATGATCTGACTTGACGTATGACAAGTGAGGCCACTCGACGCCACAATTGCGGCGGGGATGGATGGTCGCGTCGCGTCACTTCGCTTCGACTCGAATCGTAGGCGAGCGAGCAAACAAGCGAATCGACGAGATGTGCGGGTGGGGGAGAGATGCGAAAGAATTAATGGGTCAAGGGCAACGTTGGGGTTCGCCATGACGCTTCAGCCAGGTCATGCAATCGCGTTCCACTATTCATTTTGACATGATCTGATCTGATGCGACATATATGATTGATTGATTGATGAGTGATACCGTCCGTACGCGTGCGCCCCACGCGATCCTGATAAGCCATCCCGTACCGTTGCCAAACGTCGTTGATATATACAACAGAATAAGAAGACACCTGATAAAGTGTGCCCAAGACATGTACATGCATATTGCGCCTCATCTCTCAGCCTCCAATTTGTGAAACCCGCAGTCGAATAGCTCGACCACACGCCAAACCTTCCCCACGTTGTTGACCCAAGTCGTAAAACATCAAACGGATATAGAAAGAAAAAGGATGTGAGTCTAAAAACTCCCCCATGAGAAGCTCGCTTCGAGCAAGCGAATGTGAAGTTCGTTAAAGTGAATATAAGTAATGGGGTATCGTTTGACCAAAGCGGAGAATGACACGAAACAGGAGAGAGAAACCGCGAAGAAGAAGTAAGAAGACGACGTTCAGATCCGTCGTGCTTATGATTCCGGCTCCGTCACTTCATCGATCGACGGTGGGGGAATGAAGCCCTGTGAAGCAGCAACTTCTATACGTGGCGCCTTTGCAGCATGCGACTCGCTGATGCTACCTTGTTGCGGCGAACGTTTGGTGGAAGTGGCCATTGGCGAAGGGATAGTAGACTGTTGTCCGCTCTCCGTCTTCGCATGAGGAAGAATAGTCTGATGACTTGAGTGGCTTGTAGGAAAGTGGCGTGGCGAAGCACTCTTTTTGCTCTTGTCACTGGCCGCAGACGACGTTCTAGGTGACACTCGTCCTTGCTGTGAGTGTCCCTGTTAGTTTGATTATGTGGACTAGATGTGAGAAGATTAACTTACCTGTTTAGCCCACCGTAGTCCGCACGAGTTGCACAAGTCGCGGTTGCCCGATGGACCTCGCCGCCACTCGGGTGTTGTTCTTGTATGGCAATTCGCACAGTCCTTCTGCATCTGACCTGCGCCCTTTCTGCGCTTCCTCTTCTTTTTGGCTGCCAATAAGCTCTGAACCTCTTCGGCCAGGTATCGGTTTCGCTTTTCCATTTGTCGGAGCTCGTATTGCCAGCTTGTGCTTCGTGTCGTCTTCAGTTCGTCGAACACGTTATCGTCTGAAGCAAGACTTTGATCCTGGTGTCCAAGCTGTAGACCGTTGTGGCCAGCAAACGTCGCAGGCGATTCCTCGGTAGTGATGAAAAGAGGATTTGTGTTTGATGTGTTTGGCGTATTTGACCCGGTGTGGCCGGTCAGAGATCCTGCGGCGGGCGATGCTGCTCCTGACATCTGCGTGTGTACAGAGTTATGAGAGTCGCGTTCATGCTTGGTGTTCGTGTACATCGATGGGCGGCCAGCATTGCTATTTCGCGAATACTTGAGAAGTCGCGTTTGACCAACGACAAAGGTGGGTTTCTGGCCCTCGATTGCATCTCCGGGGTAGATGGTTGTGAAAGCCTGAAGGACCTGGCCACGCTTGTTGATCATTTCGTGCTTGACTTCACCTTTCCTGCCACCTCTGGCAAGCTCAAGGATACGGCCGAACTGGATCTTAGACTCTTGGCGCATAAGAGATTGTATGCTTGTGCCCACAAGCTCCTCGGGTTGCTTGTCGAGTAACTGACGTACGTTGGACGAGACGTACAAGAACATGCCTGACGTAGACATTTTGGTCCAAAGTTCGTTGTCACCAACGCCTCCGGATTCGCGTACGATAGCCTTGCTGAGAGTATAGACTGGGCGCTCGCGACCCACAAGGATGATGCATTTCCGGCCCTTGCCTTGCTCCGTGTGAAGGGAACCGTGACCTTCGAACCACATGTAGCCGCTCTTCTTTCGCCGTATCCTAAACACGACATTGACCGATGCGCCGTTTGTGGTTTCCTTTAACTCTCGTGTAACCGGGACGATGTCGCTAGGATGGCAGACAGAAGACAGGGCAGTCCCAACAAGCTCACTTGGGTCGTACTCTAGTATCCTGTTGCTGGCCGGTGACAGGTATAAGAAGAGTCCCTTCAGCGACAAGACATGGACGACGTCGTCGCTGTTCTCAAGCAGGACCTTGTCCCAGATACGTCTGGTCATCTCCGAGTCACCGCTACCGCTGTATGCAGCGAGCACGTTGGACACCTCATCCTTGGAGATGGTCTGACCTTGCTCGGCTGCTTGTGGCTTGTGGTGGTCGCTGAAAACGTAACTGGGCATCGACATTCCGCGTTGGTAGTTGACTCGGTACGAACCGTCTATAACATGATCAGCTCACACACGAGGTGTTGTGTTAGATGCGGAAGCCCACCTGAGTTCTTGTTCGTCATGGCTCCAGGCTGCTCGACTAGATCGACCTGGAAACCAACGAAGAATTTCATCTTGCCGCCAGGCTCCCAAGCGATAGGGATCATAGTGAGCAGGTTCATGAACGGCTGGCCGCCTCTTCGGTAATTGATCAAGCTGATCTGCGCCTCGGCACGACTCTCGATCATGTTCTTGAGATAGTATACCGAATCATCGTCAACGTAGTTGCGTTTGATACCCGATTCTACCTTGCCGTCAGGTGCTTGTAAGAAACGGCAATTCCGCCCGAGGATCATATGTCTCGTGTAGCCGGTCAGTCGTTCGAAGTTCTCAGAGCAGTAAACAATGGGAATGTCGTCCAGCTCGGCATCGCAAACGACGAAAGCGCACGAAAGATCAACGGAGCCGATGTCGATCTGGGGTTCAGGTCGAGTAGCTACGCGCATCTATTGGCATATCAGTATGTCAATCTCAGTACACTGTGTCGATACGTACCAGCACTCCGAGCATGTCAAATCCGGTCGACGAGTACGCATTTTTGAACTGCGTCTTCATGTGTGGGTTGTTCGCTTTGGTTGACGGGAACCCGCCGGTGGGCGCCTGCCACGGAATCTTGAAGTCTGCGAGTTGCTTCTTCATGACCTCTTTAGACAGATCTTGAGCAGGGTCCTGTGCGACGGGTTGTTGGTTCTGCAGTGAGGCCAGGGTCATGCGCGTTGGAACACTGTTGGAAGAATGGTGTTCACTTTGGGGCCGGGAGTGGGACCGCATGCTGGACTGGTCCTGGCTGGTCGACCGACTGAGGAAGCTGGATCTGCCGGACTTGACTTCTGGTGTATTGTTTAGGGACGGACGTTTGAACTGGTCTTGGGTCTGCCCTGACGGAGTATTGTCTCCTTGGGGAGCAGCGGGCACTGGTCCTACAAAGTCCTGCTGGATGGGCGAGTCCAGCATGGGTGTGTTAAATTGGCTGCCTGGGAACATGTTCATGTCCATGGGTGTCATGGCCATCGAATCGTCCATGTCCAAGGGCATGTTCATGCCGTTCTGATACGATCCCATGTCCAGGTCGAGGGAGTTCTTCTGGTGCATGGGCGAGGCGTAGGCAGAGCCAGGACCGCCCATGGTCGGAAAGGGAGAAGCCTGGCCTTGGAACTGTGTGTTGATGTTGAGGTCGGCAGCCGGCATTTGGTCATTCTGGATGTCGGCCGTGGTGCGCGGAAAAGCGGTGTTGTTGCGCATCATGTTGTCCATGGCAGCGGTTGACATGTCGAATTGGAAATCGTCCATGTCTCCGCCATTGGGATCACCGAAATTCATCATGCTCAGCCTGCGCGTGTCGGGGCTGCCCAGGTTCATTTGTTGTTGTTGCTGCTGCTGTTGTTGGGGCCCTCTAGCGTATACGGGCATACTCCGGCGGCGGTTGTCCTTGTCGTTCTGCGCGACGATGGAGTCCAGCGACTGGCCCTCGACCATGTTGAAGCCGTTCATGCCGTCCCCATTCATATTCATCATCATGTTCCCATTGGCGGCCGGGTTGAAGGGCCGGGTGGGATATGGGTAGCCATTCATGGTGGCGGCTAGGGCGCTACGGGCTCAAGAGCGGCAGGAGCAGGCAGTGTCGTCCGGCACGGGGTTGTAGGCATCCACGGGTGTGGGCGGCGCCCGAGGGCACGGCGGTGGTGCGCTATCGCTTGTCTCGCTGGTGATGTTGGAGTCGCGGCGGCGGGGCGTGCAGCGTCTGACAAGCGACATCCGGGGGCGGCGACAGATGGGGGGGGCTCCTCGGCCTGGGTGCAGTGCAGCAGGACGGGGAGTCGTCTGGGGCAGATTGGGCGGGTGAAGTTGGGATGCGAAGAGCGAGCATGTGTAGCGTCAGTGGAATGCGCTAGGTGCCAAGCCAAAAGGCCGCGTGCGGGATAGCTGCAGAAGATGACGGAAGCATGTCAGTGGCTTCACGCGAGCAATTATCGGGGGCAGCCCGGGCACAAGCACTCTCTGAGCACAGGCGGAGCGGCATGGGATAAGCAAGAGGCGAGCGACTCTGCAAGCAGGGACCAGCTATGGTATTTTGCACTTTGCCATGCTCTGCCCTACCGGTGGGACCGATGCACGCAGCCCCCCTCGCTGCGGTCCTGACTGGCACACATGATCTGACAATGACGGCAATCGCCTGAGGCTCGTTATCGGTCTGACACTGGAGGATGGGCTGGCCTGCAGGGTGGCCCAATTGGGCTAGCTTGGCGGGTGCTTGGCATGCCCCGGCTCGAGAGTTTTTGGAGCGACAGCGCCGACTGCACGCGACGGCAAAATGATACTGAGGAGCATCGCAGCGCGCAGTGGTAGGAGACGTCAATTGGACATGACTGCACATACTAACACCATCGATAGCCCCCCGGGCGCTCGCACGACACTCCCGCCAGCCGCTCCGCCCGCTGCAGCGATTTCTCTCCACCGAGACCGAGTCGATCGAGGCCGCTACCGACAACAGTCTCAAGCAGATCCAGTCGATAGAGGCCCAGCTCAACACCCACCTCCAGCAGCCCATCCCCTCCGTCGACCCCGAGACCCATGGCACCTCCGAGTCCGCCTCCGACGATGTCGCTGAGCAGTACTACATGTACAAGCAGCAGTGTACGACCGCCGCCCCATCCTGACTCCACCCTGCTGACGATCCGTAGCCAAGCAGATGGGACATCTAGGAACTCAGATCGAGCCGCACTACCAACCGCACTCCCTCCTGAACCACCCCCCATCGCCCGCCGACGTGACCCTCGAACTGCTCCTCGCCTCCGAGGCCCACCAAGGCCATGTCACTTCCCTATGGAACCCCGCAAACGCACGCTACATCCACGGCATACGGCAAGGCGTCCACATCATCTCGCTCGAAGTCACTGCAGCCCACTTGCGGCGGTCCGCCAAGGTCGTGCAGGAAGTTGCGCGGCGGGGAGGCATGATCTTGTTCGTGGGCACGCGCGACGGGCAGGATAGGGCAGTAGCACGCGCTGCGGAGCTAGCCAAAGGATACCACCTGTTCGAGCGCTGGATCCCAGGAAGCATCACCAACGGCCAGCAAATTCTCGGCAGGTGCAAGACCAAGGTCGTGAATGAGTTCGACGAGGAGGTCTCCGGCTTCGAAGAGCAGCTCTTCGACCGATCTGTCCTCCGGCCCGACCTGGTCGTCTGCATGAATCCCCTCGAGAACTACGTCCTGCTGCACGAGTGTGCGCTGAACAACATTCCCACCATCGGCGTCATTGACACCAACGCGGACCCCACCTGGGTCACGTACCCCATCCCTGCCAACGACGACAGGTAAAACATCTCCCACCAGCGGCTACTGTTTCAGGCTAACACATCACAGTCTACGCTGCATACAAGTCATCGCTGGCGTCCTAGGTCGTGCCGGAGAAACCGGCCAAAAGCAACGGCTTGCGGCCGCCGCTGAAGGCCGCATCACCTACCGCCCAGCACAAGGCTTGACATTAACCAGCACAGATGTGGATGCCAAGAGTGCAGAAAGCGTGAGACCCGAACGCAGATCTGTAGGACGGATGGGTACGAATGTCCCCCTGGAGCAAGTCGACGAAGCAGCGGGACCGATAGACACGGGCTTAGAGGATGCCAATGAAATGGCCACCAAACTGGACGAAGTGGCCAACCACGAGAGCCATCGGACGAGAGAAGGCAGAGATCTTAAAGTCACCTCATAGAGCGTTTGTATAGCATGTAAATCTACAGTACGAATATTATGCATAGGATCAGGTCTCACCTTCACGCGCACGCTTACTCATGCCGTTATTTGTGTTCAGTTGTCACGCCTCAGCACCACACCAAACTTCAAACTATCGAATTTTAGCGCCGTATGTCACGACACCAACTTCACAAGCGCGCGTCCAATCTTAAACACCAACAGTAACGTTTCCATCCCAAGCGAAACATCAACACCATAACATTCCCAGTTCTAAGACGTAGATCTACGAAGATCTCCACGGCACCTATCCGGAACGAGCCTGAGCTCTTTCCCCCGGAGCCACCCACAGCAGCGCAGCGCACCCAGCCAAAAAACACCCCGACGTTGCGATAAAGCCTGACCATTCACATTCGCAACCGTGCTAGCAGCACCACGGAACCTGCAACCGCCCGACTAACCTCTAGCTCAGGCCCAGGAGCCGAGCCGGAAAAAGGAGGAAAAGCACATACTGAGAGTCCCGAGGGCAAACTCGCATTTGTTCCGATGCAGGAACATGACGTCAATTGTGCTAGTGCATCGAGGCGCGATCGGGAATCTGGGCCGCATCGAATGAACAGTGCTCACGCAGGGAAGCCCCGTAGTATGGGGCGCGCATTTCACCGGAGAGGATTGAAACGTAGTGAGGCGGTAAAGGAAGAAGGGGCAAGGCAAAAGCAGGCGGTGTGGGGGTTTTAGTACTTGGTTGGTAGAAGGCGAATGAGAGATATTATTAGGTAGGGGTTAAACTGCAAGTTTACGAGTCGAAGGCTATCAAAGGGGATGGGATGTGGAGTTCTATACAGAGAGTTTGTTTTCAGGACGACTACACATTAGAGCGATGGTGTGCTAAACCGGCCGTTTACCAACCAACATACTGAGTGCCACGAAGGAGAAAGGGGTTATGGTTGTTTCGAAGCGTCGGCCAAAGTGTTGAAGGTGCTGTACCGCCGGAGTAGCTGGGCTTTCGAGTCCTAGTCGAGATCGTCGGCGCTGGTTTCTGTTGCTTTTGGCGCTGCGGCTGCGGCGGGCGCTGGGGTTTGGCCGTAGAAGTCTAGTTTGCCTTCGCTCTGGAGGACGCCCATACGGTCGTACAGTGAGCGAGCTCGAACATACGGGTCCAGCTTCCAGTAGTTCTGCCTCAGCTGTTCGGCAATGCTATCCCTTTCTTTCCTCTTCTCGTCCGCTGGCGCACCCTCACCGGCGTGTACCCACTCCAGCACGGAAGTCTCGTAGTTGTCGACGATCTGTTGCCTCTCGCTTTGCAGCTCCTGCTTTGGCTTCTCTTCGGCCATCTTGTCGTTCTCACCAGGCACGGGCTCTGGGAACTTGTACTCCCACTTCTCCTCTCCACCTAGTTCAGTTGGAATCTGCGACTTTGGGATGTAGTTGCTGAGATCGTCGATCGTCTTTGCAAAGTGCACCTTGCCGGCGACGACGGGGTCCAGCCAGCCTTTGACGATACTCCACACGGCGTTGAAGACCCAGGGCGCTCGGTAGACGAGAACGGTGCCAAGCGATTCGGGGTAGTTGGCCTCGAAGCACTTGATCATGAACTTTACCGGCGTGTAGTCCATGTTGGCCATAGAGAAGTCCGTCATATCGAAGACGATAGTCTGTATTCGGTTAATCATTGCACACAATCCGGAGAAGAGAATAGACTTACGGCTGTGTCAATCGGAGGCCTCAACAGCATGCGTGCGGTCTCAATAGTGTAGACGGTGAATCTTTCCAGACTTTCCTCCGTCTGCTCGCCGGCTTTGTGTAACCTCGCGCGGACAAAACACATCGGCCTTCCTTCAATGTCCAATCCGTGTAGATAGCTCTTGCCCATGCGCAGCTGTGTCAGGAAGTCCTCCGCGTTCTTCTTTGTCTTAGCATCGTCGCTGGTAGTTTGCGCAGCGGCGAGCTCTCCGTTCTTCATGATGTCGTCGTCGACATGCATGTCGTTCAACCTCCACTGCATGGTAGAGATCATCATGACTAGCGCCTTCTCCACGTCCCATTTCCGTGCGCGGAGGAATCGGAGAAGGAGAGCATCGGGGTGGTCGTGCTTGACCATCATCCAGAAGGTCCTTCGCAGCTCCTCTGGTGGAATGTTGGCGATCGCTGCCTTGAACTCTGCGGTCTGACCGAACTTGTCGTCATCGGCGGATATTGACAGCCTGCTAATGTCTGACGGGGTCGAGCCTGTCGAAGCAGTCGACGCCTTGTCGTCTGCGCCCTTCTCGCCCTTATTCCTCTTGAACACGTTCAATCGGCTCTTCTTCTTGTCCTTCTTGCCGTCCGCTGCCGCCTCACTTGTGGTCGGTGATGCGACCTCATCGACCGTGCTTGCAGCTTCCGACCCCGCTTCCACGCCGAAAACCTTCATAACGATCCCCCATAGCTCACGCAGCTTCTTGTCCTCTTCGGGTGTGAGCGTTCCCGGTCGCCCGGCGGGGGTGTTCGGTGCCATGACGAGGTACGAGTCTGTGAGGTCTGCGGTGTTGAAATGAGTCGGGGTGGATTTCCTGGCTGTCTTGGGCTCTGAAGAGCTCTGTACGAAAGGGACAAGTAGCACGCCGCCAATTGCAATGCCAGCGACTATTCCTACAGTCCACAGGTTGAGTCCGCTTGTCTTGTGAGGTGCCGGTGCCGTGCTTCGCCGACTGTGATGTAGTAGGTTTGCGCGTGTGACCGGATTCGTAGAGCTATAGGGGGCAGGTGGGGCGCCGCGATACTTTGGGTTATATACGGATCGTGGACGCTTGGGTGTAGAGGAGTGCAAAAGTCGTCGTAGGGGCTGTGCGCGAGGCAACATGGAAAAGTGTCAGGTCGCTGAGCTGAGCCTCGTTATGGCAACTGCTCGCGTCTGCTTAGTGTGACGTCGGCAGAGCTTTCCGGATACGTCGGACGAATATGTAGCCGCGATCTACGTACAGAATGCAGCTGCGGGACGCCTTAGAGCAAGCTGCGGGCAAGTGCGTCTTGTGATAGTTTGCTGGACACAAAGTATCCGGAGACATACAGAGAGGCGTACTTTTGGAAGCAAGAACAATGGCATCATCGACCAATTGGTCTTAGCGCGATTGCCCTGCGTGTGGGGTACTGTTTACTTCGTATCAAGCTCCCGAACTAGGACCGCGTTTCAAGATCTCAGAGGCGTCACAGTACCAGACTGCAATTGCGCGACTGTGCTACCAGATTTACAAGGAGATACATCTACCACCGTGCAACATGGCGTCTACAACACCCACAACAACGCCCTCGTACCGGCGCACACGCAGCAAATCACCACGCTCACGTCCGACCACGCCCCTCCGCCCGTCTTCCCGCTCCTCATTACGCGACTCATCCCAACGCGGTCGCGCTGCTTCGGCATCTGGCAACGCGCTTGAAGGCTTACAGGACGGATTCGCAGAGTTGAGCGACGCCATGGCAGACCTTGAGCAAAACTTCTTGCAATTGCAACTTATGCACGAGAGCCTGGCACGTTTCTCAGAGAGTTTTGCGGGGTTTCTGTATGGAATGAACATGAATGCTTTTTGCGTAGACTTCCCGGAGGTGAGTGATGGGAGACTGAAGAGAAGATACAGAGGAGAGAGAACGCGGGATGGTACTGACTCGTCACTAGGCTCCTGTTCCAGAATCCTTCAAGCGCCCACAGAACCAACCTGATCAGGGTGCCGCAAACCTGAATCGCTCTCAAGGCCCAGAAGATATGGAAGCCACGTTCTTAACGACCGACACTTCATTCGTCGACAACCCGCCGAGTAGTAAAATCCACTCCAAATTCCAGAACCCGCAAACACCAGCACCTGCTACGAGGACAAGTGGTGTACCTAGAGGAAGAGGGGGAATACCACGAGCAGGCGGACGGGGTGGTATACCTACACGCGGCGGTGCACCTAGAGGAACCAGGGGTGGTACAGGCATAGCAAGAGGTGTCGCTGGACGGGGTCGCGGAGCACGTTGAGAACATCGGACAAATCTATGGTGATGTCTCGATGAGTACAATTTTCATGGCAATGAGGAAGTTTGTTCTATGAATATTCTATTATCCCACATCGTGTAGGGGTTGCATGGCTACATTGCTAACTGTGGTGCAACCTAGTATTAACTTTCAGAGTCGCCATCCGTCTATTACTACCATGATCCCTTCGTCCTAAGAAGCTCATTAATCCAAGACGAACTTCATTACCACCGGTCTAGAACAAAACAGGCATTAGGTGCAGCTATCCAGGCTGTCGTCTTCCTTAAGAAAGGGGTATACTGCGACCAAACCCATTAAACCAAAACAAATTGCGTCAAAGTCGTAAAGAGGAAATGTAGGGTATCAAGTGGAAGTTCCACTTCCTGAATAAGAAAATCGTCTCCAGTCGATCGATCGAGGGTATCTCGTAAAGACGTCGTCTACGCCAATACTCCAGCACGGCCCTTTGCGTACTGGCTGCTGCTCTCCTTGCGTAGAGCCCATCCCTTGATAGCGATTACTACAGTCGTCCAAGCCATGAGCAGCGCGGTAAGGCCCATGACAACCGTAAAGATGAACATAGCGTCGAGGTCGTACGATTCCAGAGCTGCGACCGTGTCCTTGTTGCTGACCATGAAGGTGATACCACCCGATATCAGACAAAATGCGGTGACGATTTCCGTAGGCGGCCGGGATGGTAGGAACGAAGTTGGCGGTGAGATGTAGAGGGTGATGTAGGTAAGACCGCGGGCAAGAGCAAAGGCCATGAACATGCTGCCCCATTGGGTATGGATCATAGTCGAGACCATTGAGCTCTGATGATGAGAGCTCATCATCTTGCCGAGTAACATAATGATTAGGGCCGGGAGTGGGTTCATCGAAAAGCGATATTGGCTCGGCTGCTTCCAGGACTCGTTTTGTAGCGAGCTTGCTTGAGAGGCAACGACTCCGCTGTTAAGAAGGTCGCGTACCTTGGTCGATTCGATGCACATTCCCAACTAGGAAGAATGTCAGCGATATTACACAGAAAAGGAAGGAGCGACCTTTACTCACCAAACCACCACCAAAGAACATCACCGAAATCGAAACATGTTCCAGATCTTGTGCAGTCCATGCATCGCCCCACGCAGCCAGGTGTTCGAGGAAGACGTTTGTGCAGCCGTATAGCCAGATGACGAAGGATTCGGTAAACTCTGCCGACGGTAGTGCCGCTCTCCGACGACCGACAACCTCCTTCGGTGGCTTCACGTTCCATGCCCATCCGAAGTCTGCAAACGCGCCCATCCATCGACCTAATGTGAGGAAGCCGTATAGAAAGAAGATTCCTCCTTTTACTGTGTGCGCCAGGACGTTGAAAACCGCTCCTCCTCTTCCAATGCCGCCGTAGACGATGGCGCCACTTACAATCGCCGCGAAACCCTGTACCAAGATTGTGCGCTCGATGGCAACGTAGAGGAAGCGAATTGCCTTGAGTGTCCGACCAACTGCGAAGCGCGCCACGCTGCGAGAGAAGAAATTGTCCACCGAGGTGTTGCGAAGGAAGCCGCGCTTCTCGTCGTCGCTGTCGTCGTCGTTACCGAAAGAGTCGTCGTCATGTGTGGATCTTCGAAGAGGGGGAGCGAATTGCTGGTTCTCAGACTCCACGCTGGGGGACTGAGAGGGATCATACAGAGAAGCCGAGTTCCGCTCTGTGCCCTGCCCCGAATCCCCTGACCATCGCGACGGCGCGACAGCCTCTTCGTCGTGTACGCGCTCGTATCTGAGCATATTGGCGGTCGTCATCGGCTCCGCAAATTCGTCCGCTTTCGAGTGCGACTCCGACCTGCCAGCGTAGGCCTGGATCAGAGCCATGAACACCCATGCCGAAGCGATCCAGGTGATGGCCCATCCCATCTTGCTGTGTGCATTTCCTGCGTACATCTCCGGTGTCTTGTGGTCGTATACGAGGCCGAGTACGAGCGCGAACGCATTGGTGGCGAGGAAGATCATTTGCGAGGGGAGAGTGTATCTTGAGCGAGCGATGCTAAACATGACTGCGATTGGCAAGATGACAACCCAGGCCAGGATCTCAAGCCCTATGTGCCAGTACATAAGCGAAGCATGCTCCGATAAACTCCAATAACCTTCAAAGCCATTGTCTTGCGGTTGCGCCTTCGGCATATCATGTGCGCTCATGTCCTTTTCCTTGCTATCGCCATGCGCAGCTGCCAACGGTAAGAGCTCAATTAGCAGCGCCGCGGTGGCTATCGTCAAACTCCTGCGATCCGGCATGTGTGTTGTGTTCAGGGAAGGATTAGAGTTGTTCAGGTGAAATGTATTGCGCAAAGCTCAGACAACTGAAATAGCAAGACGCAGACCAGTCGTATGAAGGGCTGCAGTACTTCAGGATGCGCTGTCAAAGCGACAAGAAGATGAGGGATTCAAGGGAGACAGCAGATGTAACAGGAAGAAATGTTTCAATGCATGTGGCCGCCAGCGCCATGGGCGTAGCTCGCATCTATATTGTTTCCGGAAGTTTCGGAACGAAGTTTGAGCAAGTCATTGCGACAAGAGTTTGTCAGCTGCGAAACCCATCCGATCGCATGGCATTCTTCGTTGGCTGTGACGTCGGATGTGATTGTCAGGCGCGGCGTGGGTCCGGGCAAGCACGGACAGAGGGCCATTCCGTCAGCCACCGCTAATGGGATTTTGCGAGCAATCCACCCGGCAAAGTTCGCCATGTTAGTCTTAAGGTTGTGGCTGCATCTATCTCATCATGACATTGAAACCTACGGCGACTTTGGCCTGACATTGAAACAGCCTCATCGCCTTTGACTTCGTCGCAGACTCAGGGAGTGTGTCACGCCATGCCTGCGACAAGGCGGATATACAAGCGCCTGCATCGGATTCCGGTGACAACGACCATCCGTCTCGGCCTCCCACACTCGACTTGCGCTCGAATCGAAGATTCACATGCGATCTTCACCACCCTGTCCTAGGGCACGCCGGAAGCTAAGACCGCGCGCCTGTCAGATCCCAGTTTTCCTTCGCGATCTTGCAAAAATTCAACCACCGCTATCTCCAGGCTTTGTCCGAGCTACACACTCGCGAAAGACATCATTGGTGCTTACATCAACCATAGTCACCTGCGCCATGTCTCTAATCCACTCAAGCTTTGTTTTCTCTTGGCAATGCACGCTAGAGGCGGATATAATCCCACGCGCAGACCGCAAGATGATCAAGCTCCGATTTCCATGTGTTTTGCTGGCATCCGGCCAGTCCCGGGCTGACACACCTGTGGCTCAATGTGACAGAAACTTGACGAGAAGACATCATGCCATGGTGCCTCAACCCGAAGGTTCAGGATTGTTTCGCAACTAGATAAGGTTCTAGAGCCGCAAAACTCGTTTCGGAGTATTTATCCGCCTATTCAAGATCGCTTCACTTCCATTCTGACGCAACATTACAATCAAGAAGTGTCAACGTTGAAGGCAGCACTGGGCTCTGCGATCCCGGCTTTGACTCAGACCTCCAAGTTTCTGCCTAGCGCTTGAGGTACTCAATAAGCGCACTTGATGCAAATCCGTCACCGATCCTACGAGGTGTAAATCGCGAACATGCGAAAGGTGTGGGGCCAGCGGGCATCCATTCGCTTGGGCCTCGCAACTATACCTTCTTCGACAGCGATTCTTCATCATCTGATGCCGAACGCCAAGTGTCTGACATATCTTTACATACTCTACATCCGGACCTTCGGAAAGTGTGAGACCGACACCGCTGCTTGTTGTTGCCGAGGAGGAATCATTACCATGCATGTTGCAACTCGGGTCATACGATCTATCCACCGGAAGAGGACGACAGCCATGGCATGATGTGCATGGCTTGAACTGACGCGTGGCAGTGACTTGAGACTTATACCCTTCATCAGTCTCATCACCGATGGCTTACACGAAGTCATTCCAATACCTACTCGATATCTTCATGCGATTTACGTCTGTTTGATCAGGTCGTACATGCAATCTGACATGCTCGGGGACGACACCTAGATGCCCACACAAGATTCAAGCTTACGCCCTATGCAACGAAATATCGTTTTGTATAGCATGACTAGGCACGCATACTGGAGAGCTATTATTATGCAGTCTGCTGGACGTAGTGCCAACCAGCAGAACGAACTGTTGGGCGCATTAGCCAATCAATAATACCCTACGAATCTCGCTAAGCTTTATAGTTCCTGAAAGTCACAAACACATTGAGTATCAAACTTGCGAGCTTCAAGAACGCCTGGCTGCTGTGTGGTCTCGCTCATGCCATCGTGATGGGCTTGGCGCCAAGTTTCCGAATAGTCCACGTGACCGCGCGGCGGCTGGAAACATCGACGTGCGCGACCCATCGAGAACCTCGCGCGCAACAGACCCCGACTACCTTCACCACAGTAAAACACGCTCCACACTAAAGATGCTTGATATTGAGGACTTTGACGCGGTATATCGCAATCTCCACTACAACGATGGCCTTGTTCAAGAGATTCAATCATACCGGACTGCGCTCGGCGGGCGCACCTTCTTCGAACGGCTGCTGACACTCCTAAACATCAAGGGCAAGTCGCGCACACTGTTGGGCCTCTTCAAATGCTAACTGGAAATAGGAAGCAAGATGTACCCGCCCAAAAGCTCACAACAGCTTCAAGAGCTCCATCAGCGCATAACCTCCTCCAACACCACACTACACAATAAGCACTGTCTTGTATTCTACCTACTCAAAGATTTATCGGCGCAACACCACGAAGCGACAGAGCTAGCTGAATCGTTCGCGAAAGACGTACATCTCGAGAAGCGATTCTGGACATTCGTTGAAGGACTCTGGTTCCTCGACCACCTCCAATTCGCGACCGCCGTCGGACACCTTACATACCCGGGCATAATACCTACCTTCCCTGACGAGATCATGTACACCCTCTTGACAGGGCAGGATAAAGTGAGCAGCATGGGCATGGCAAGAGATCCCAAAGATGATATACTGGC